CAGAATTATTTTACCTTAATGACCCTACATATCGACACTGTTTCTTTCTTTCTTTTTTTTTTTTTTTTTTGTACTTTTTGGCTGGGGCCGGGCCTGAAACTGCCACCTCCAGCATATGGGGCCAGTGCCCTACTCCTTTGAGCCACAGGTGCTGCCTGACACAGTTTCTTCTATTAATTCTTACATTTTGAAAAAAATATAACCCTTTACTCTTGATTCATTAAAGAAAATTTTCAATAATTTACAGGTAATATCATTTCAAAGCTGTTTGGTGACCAATGCAAACTCTGATAATGTCACAGCCTAGGATGAAGAGTCTGAGGGGTAATATCGGGGGGCAAGGCTGAACTCATCCCCCTACATTCCCTTAATGACTTCATATTATTTTTAAGCCTTTTCTTTTTTCTTAAGACAATTGAGATAGATACGGAAAGAAGTAATGAAGAAAACCAGCAACTTACTTTTTGTGACAACACCTTCTAGACGAATGATATTCGGGTGGTCAAACTGACCCATGATACTTGCTTCTCTTAGAAAATCTCTTCTTTGGCGATCCATGTGTCCACCTTTCAGAGTTTTAATGGCAACCGGGATCTCTCTTTTCCCTGGTGTCTTCAAGCGTCCACTACAGACTTCTCCAAATTCACCTTAAAACATAAACAAAAGCTGTTATTTATCTCAAGAGAATACTTATATTTCAGAAGAGTCAAATTGCCATATAGTGCCATCCTTTCTTGTTTAATATAAGGACTCTCAAGTGTGTTGTTTTCACATAAAATTTCTTTCTTAAAAGTTAAGTTTGTAAGAATATGCTTGATCCATAGCATATACAATGAATGATGGAGTGCATATTGACATACTCCATCATAGGAACGACATTGCTGCATAACCTTGATCTGCTGAGAAATTATGACTAATGCTAATATAATTCTATGGAAAAGCAATCACTGCATAGGGTTTCCTATTCCTGCTCTCAATCATGATATAGGGGCCAAATGCTTGCTCTATTCAGGGAATCTGTCATCCCTGTATAGTTAATTTGATCCCCTCAGTCATGTGCTTGGGTTTTATTGATAATTAGAAGTCCATGTTATAGTCAACTGGTATGTGAACATATTGAAAAATCCACACCAAACAAACAGAAACTACTGACCAGTCTGTGGTCCGTAGAAGACTCAGTGCATATGACCCTGGGGTTTTAAAGTATCTTCAACTATAATAAGTGATTACCAGCATAAATTTTGAGCCAAGTGGATCTTTATTAAGTAGATTAAATAATAACCAAATACTAGTCAAGTATTTAGAATATATCTATTCAGTGCTAGAATGTTGAGAGTTTCGAAGACATATAAAAAAATCTTGGTTTCTGGTCTCAGGAGTTTATTACCTAGTAGATAATAAACATAAGCCTAACACATAGGAACCAACCTCTGTAAATGCTGTTTTTGTTGTATTTGTTAAGTAAGAACTATGGGGGCCGGAAGACTTCCTGGAGGAGGTAGAACTTATGTTGGACGTTAAATTATGGGTAGGCCTTATTTTTGAAATTGAGTTTCACTCAGATGTCCTGGGGTTGAGTGCTCATAGCTCACAGCAACCTTAAACTCTTGGGCTCAAATGATTCTCTTGCCTCAGCCTCCATAATAGCTGGGACTACAGGTGCCTACCACTGGCCTGCCTATTTTTTTTTTTAGAGATGGGGTCTTGCTCTTGCTCAGGCAGGTAAACTCCTGAGCTCAGGGAGTCCTTCTGCCTTGGCCTCCCAGAGGGTTGGGATTATAGGCGTGAGCCTCCCTGCCCAGCTTATCAGTGATGGTCAACCTTTTTTAGCTCATGGCACACTTGAACCTATAGTTAAACTTACCCAGCACACTTAAATTATGTTGATCAAAAAAAAAAAAAAGTAAAAAGTAAAAAAGCATACTTATTTTATACTTCTTTTGAAAATAATTTAATTAATGACCTTTAATGACCACCTAAGATCCTCTCACGCCATACTAGTGTGCTGCAACACACTGGTTGAAATCACTGACTTAGATAATTAAAAGAAACAGGGATGTTCTAGACAGTAGTACATTAAGAGAGTGAGAGAAATGAAGATAAAGTTTCCAGGATTAGAAACAATAAGGAGAACGACGTGGACACCGGGCAGCAAAGAGGCAGGAGGGGTTACTGTGGAGTCAAAGTCATGGTCTTTCTCAGAGCAATGCACTGAGAAATTTCAACAAAGCTTGAAATTTCAGACTCTCAATTTTTCTAGGGCTGATTATCTGCATTTATGTAAGAATATATTTGATAATTGATCCTGAATTTATTGATTGATAAAGTGAGGACTGTAAACCTTCAAAAATTCTACTGCTTTTGCCGTAAGGATATTGAGAAAATCAAAAGTGACAATATATGTAGATGAACTATATGAATGTATATGCTGATGAAATATAAAGCACTATTTATAAAATGCTTTAAGTTACTTACATCTTTAGAAGGATAAAAGAAACACAAAACTAAAGTATCTTTGGTTGGTCTATTCACGGCTCTGATCAACGCTATGAAATATAGGGTTAAGGGTAGAAGATCAAATTAAATTTTTACAGTAAAATAGATTTCAATTATCTATACTTTATTTAGAATTTTTCATAGTCAACTAAATGTTGACTACATATGAACATTAATATACATTTACATATATATATACATATACATATACATATACATATACATTTTGGTGTATACAGTAAGAATTTTAGCTCAAAAAATATCTAAGAATGTAATAAGGTGAAATTTTGTTTCCTGAAAAAAATGTGTACATATTACATTAGAAATATAAAGCAGTCTAACACAGGAGTTTATTTCCTATATGTTAAACAAAGAAACAAGCAAACAGAAACTACTGACCAGACTGTGGTCCCAGGAAGACTCAGTGCACATGATACTGGGGCTTTACAAATCTTGTATAAATTTGGCGTCAAAGATAAGAATTATCCTTTTTTATTTAATGATCTCTCAACTTCTTGGATGATAGATATTCTCATTTCACAAGAAAATGAGACTATTTTTTTCAGTTCTCCTTGTAATAGTATTTTTGATTTTTTAAGGGTTTTCTCATGTATAAAATATACCAGTTGATAGAAACTTTCAATATTTTTCTATTGAGACCTGCACCTTGGGAGTAAAAGTGTGGATATGTTTTAAAGTAATGCCCAATATATCCAGATCTAGTGAAATACTTGAAATTCATTCTTACATCACTCTAATTTGTTCTAATAAATATCCAGAAAAATAAATCTTTCTTCTTCTTTTTGTCTTAATACATCTGCTAGTGTTTAGAAAGATTCACAATACTTTAAAACCTCTCCTCTGTCATGAGTCCATAATTTTATATGTTCACATTTTATAGGACTTTAAATAAATGTTTGAATAAATGACATGAATGAGAACTCTGTTGTTTTTTTATCAAGACAGACATAGTGGTAATTTTCTTTGGTTTTCCTTTTTCTGAAATTCATGTATCTTATTAACACCAGGCAGGTGTTTTCTTCATGTCAAGTTTTGCATGATCAAGCTGTTATCACACTTATTTCAGTGACACTAAATATGGTCTCCTCAATTAAAGATCTGAGACTCCTGGTGCATTCTTTAGGAAAAGTCCAAAAATCTCAGTCACAAAATGTATTAAAACTCTTGTCCATAGTAGACCTGGATGTACATATCACACAAATGGAAAGAAATATTATAAATTAAGCTCATAATTTCAGATACTGCCTGAGACTAATTTATTATGTGGTAGCAAGAACAGAGGCTTGTATATAACCATAAGTAAGAGAAATTACTTTTCAGTGAGATCTCTTAACATTTATATGTACTGGTTAGTATATAAGTAACTCATTGACTATAGGATATGATATCATTTATTCATTTCCAAAACAGATGCAATAATTATTAGAAATCTGGGACTTATACAGAGAGTGCTTATCTTATGCCAGGTCTAAGAACTTAATATTTATTTTATTCTTCACAGCAAACCTATAATATAGGTACAGGTATTATCCCACTTTATAGATAGGGAAACTGAGGTACATGACCTAAGTAACTTATCCATAGTGACACAACTAGAAAGTAGTGCAACTGTCATTTCAACCTAGATTGTACGGCTGCAGAGTCCACGCATTGTGACCACTATTCTCTCCTCTCTGAACTGTTGATCATCAATACTATTTTCTTATATTAGTATACTAGGTTCCATATTGGTGACAATGATATCTTCAAACCAATAATTGTACAGTGTTCAAATCAATAATTGTACAGTGTTCAAAAGTGGATATGGACAGGTAGATGCAATGAGAAAGTTATATCTTAGAAATCCTTCACTACTGAATGAAAATGCAGACCTAGATAAAATATGTTGTCTGTTAGAGGGTTTGGAAAAATCACTACAGTCTAGTTTTAAGAGAGTAAAGAAAATTATATTTAGGAAAATTGATATTCTGCCACTGACAGCCCATTCATTCACTAGCTAACAACTCTCTCTCTCTCCCTGGATGTTGGTAAAACATTTCTGGACATGCAATTTTATTGTGTAATATACAGTCTAATACAATTCCTATTAGATTTTCCAAATAAGGCCCAGATAGTTGAACCAAAATCAGAAGAGCGGAGGAGGGTCAGTGAAGAACAGTCTGATTTAAGGGACTTCTGTATCAAGAATACTTGGAGACTTTCTGAAATTTCACTCCCCACATTATAAGATTCTCTAATCCTTTGAACATCACCAAAACAAAGAACCATTTTCCTGATTTTTTTTTTTATTACATCTCTCAAGTATGGTAAAATGTTTCTTGCTCAGAGGTTACTTCCTGTCAACCTCTGACAAGAATGATTTCCACAAGTTGTCTTTCGTCCTCCCCTGTCTTCACCCTCCTCTGTCTTTCTCTTGTAGAGGGCTACTTACTAGCCGTAAGGCTGTGTAAAG